TTCCCGCAATAGCCAACACCTTCTCTGCTGCGCCGATGCGCTTGTCACACCTGTTATGCCACTTGTTGTAATATAAAACCTGGCTGCACCACAAGGTGTGTTTTCCTGCATCAAAAAACATTAATCCGGCTTGGAGGTGGGTCATGGTGTTGTTCATTGGCCCTGGTTGATAAATGGTGAGAAGCGTAGGATGTGAGTGGTGCACACATATAATCTTAATTCCCTCGTCATCTTCCAAAAAATCTAGAATTTCTTGCAGTGGTCCTGGGTGCAGAAATGGGAAAATAAAGCCATGCAGGACTCTGACAGATAGCCCTAAAAAACCACACACGCACAAACCAGTGCCCCATAGTTCAGCAAACTATATATTTAAATTAAGTTACCATCTAACTGAGAAAGGTGAGTGGAAGCTGGCAAAGGACTCGGGCATATAAGGCCAATAAACAGAAATCAAGAGAAAACCCAGTGTTTTTCTATCTGTGTCATTCAAGCGCTATCTTGAGTCCCTCTGCAAATTGCTGATGTGATGTCATTGACAACACTCCACCCAAGCATGTGAGAAAAAGCTGGGGTTCAGACTCAAGTTCCTTCAGTTCAAGATTAAAATTTAAAAAACAGCCAGCCATGCTTGAAGGTTGATTTTTGTGCTCTGATTCTGATGAAAGATGAAAGATTTGTGGGAGAACGAAAAAGGATTTGTGGAAATGCTGTGTTTATTGAATTGTGGAGCAGAGATTGCACCAAGTACGCGTTTCAGTCTGAGCTGTCTGTTGTTACTGCTCACTGTTGCTGCCCCATACTTCCTTAAGATCCAGCGGCCCCATTGGCCTTCATTGTTGCGATTTATTTAATGGTTTATACCAGGGGTGCTTGATGGCAGGATTCAGCTTGTGTTGTAGAACCCCCAACTGCCCACCTAGAATCCTGAAACGCCCACTAGTGGGCGGTAGGGACCAGGTTGACAATCCCTGGTTTATACATATGATTACGCATGTCCTAGGAGTAAAAGTGGTGGGCATCTGTAAGGCACATTTGGGAGAGAGACAAGGCTGTAGGCAGAAGTGGCAACAAAAACAAGGCACCAGCGCCAGTCTTACCAAGAAAACAATCTAAGAGTCTTGTGGCTTCTTTAAAGACTAATACATGTATGGTGGCAAATGCTTTTTTGGTCTCAAGCCACAAAGCATATGTGGCAGATATTTCAAGGAGAAAATTGTAAGGTTCAGTGTCAATGAGTTGAGAAACTTACAGTGATAATTAGAGCACAAATATTTGTTTAATAGGCACAACTTGGACCTGCAGCAGATTGGTGAACATCACTGAGATGGCTGTATTCACAACTGTAGGTGGGCAGGGAACCATTTGTAAGAAACAGTCAATGATAGCACAGATATCCAGGCTTTGAGAAGCTAATTAACCCATGCAGTGTGATAAAAACTCCTTGGTCTTGAAGTGAACTAATCAAAGAGAAAATATGTGATGTATTTTATTTTATTTTTAATACAGCACACCTTGAGATTATTCCACAGTTATCTCACCTTTGCGTATGAATGCATAGCCTCTTCAGTTTAAGCATATGCTTCCTTCTCTCCTCCAGTATCCAGTTGCATTCAAACCGAACAAACTGCATTTTATTTTCCAAGCGAGTGTCACATAACCCTGGGTAACAAATTATGGTCTTTTTTGTCAAAGCTGGGTTGTTGTTTTTTTTAAAAAAATCCTGTTCAGTTGTAGGGTGCTAGAGCTTCCTGCTTTTGTTTGTGGGTCTGCTTTTGTTTGTATATCTAGAGGGCGAAAGTTGTTTCATTATTTCTTTCTACCTACTTTGCTATTTTTAAAGCCCATAACAGCATTATGCTCTTCTTTTAAACCAATACACAAAACTACTCCAGGAAATAATATGTATAGATTCCTAGCATGTAAATAAAATGGAGAGGGTAGAAGATGACTGACTGAGCTCATGCTCATGTTGCAACCCACCTGACTTGGAGCTGATGAGCCTGCAGATGCCAGTAGACATTTATGGCTCAACAGCGGGTATATTGAGGGGGGCATACAGGCCTGAATTACGGGGAAGGGGCATAACAGGCACCCATTAGACAGTGCTGTCCAATTACTCATGCAAAAGTCTCAGTTAAGCCAGTGGGATTTAGCCATGCGTGACTGCTGGTGGGGTTAAGTCCATGGAGCTTCCCATAGAGTCTAGTTCTTTCACATAATCTTTGCCGATGTCAATCAATTCAAGCATCCCTTTGCTGCAGGAAGCTGCTGAGTCCTTGACAATCTTGGCACAGATATTTGGAAAAGAAGGGATGGGGAGTCTAATCAGTTTGGGAAGGAAGCCAGTAGAAATACTTTTTGCTGGCAAATCTCTTGCAGGCTGCTTTGCCATCAAATCTCAGGGCAAGCTCTTCGCGTGAGCTTTTGCAGTTAGCATTGCATTTCCATACCACCCATATCCTTAGTATAGCCGTCCCCCTACCCTGGCACTGTTCCCTTGTATGGCCTCCCATAGATATCCTGTTCTCAGCATGTAAAATCAAGTAGCAGCTGAAATGGGTGTTGGCATCTTACTCACTTGCCAGTCTTTCTGCCCCATCTCGGCAGTGCCAGTAGACACTAAATCTTTTGCCAGGTAGGTTGCCCTCATCTGGACAGGCCCCCTCCTCTTTCTCCTCCACATCCATGTCATAATGGTCCCATTAAAATTAAAAGGCTACAACTATGGATGGATCATGTTTTCAGTTTGTATCAGTTGCTTATTGACATTAGGAGGGAAATACCTATCGTGCCTTATCATAAAAGGTCTCCAGCAGAAGTACTTGGGGTGGGGTGGGAAGGCATTATGATACAGAAACCATCCTGAATTGCTTTGTCTCACTGCTGAGATTTAAATGTGAAACAACTGGGGTTTTCTTTTGTCTGAACATGGAAGTCCTTTTCAGGCCATATTTGCTAAGCATCATGCACTGTTTTGCAAACTTGGTTACCATCAGGTGCAGAAATCTGAAACAGAATTACATTTCAGGTTGACATTTCCTTGCCCTAATAGTTAAAAATAAATAAATGAAATCAAACTCTGCCTCCTCAGTTCAGTGCTTGTTAATCATTTTGGCTGGTTTTGCCCTGATGTCTTTCTTCTTGTGTTGAATGTGGAATCTATCTAAATTACATTGGGAAGTTGCATGACGGGGCTTTACAATTCAGTTACCTTGGTGCTTATATATCATCAGAGCAGAACTCAATTAGCTGTGTCAAATTTTGCTCATGAACATGCCTGCAACAAAAAGATGCTTGGGACCCTCCCTGAAATGTTTACCAGGAACATCCCCAGAAAGTCACCCTACCCTGTTCTTATATTTGTTTGAATTTTCAGGTTGTTTTTTTTTAAAAATAGTATTTTGAAAGGTGTCAAGGCTGTAACTTAGTGGTAGAGCATCTACTAGCATCTTCATTTGGTAGCATTCTTCCTTTGGAGGGGTGTTCTGATCACGACTCTCTCTCCTCCCGTATATTTGGATCCCAGCCCTTGTTAATTAGATTCCAGGAGAAATCCCTTCAGTCAGAAGTGTCACCGTTGTCCTTCCTTGTCGAGCTGAGACACTGATGTTGTATCTAATAAAGAATTCACCTTGCTTACTCTCTGCATCCTAACTGCTCTCTGGGGAGTGCTAAAGTGTGCTTAAGCATATTGTGAAGTCTTATTCAAAATGTCCGCTGCTGCATGGGCAGTAATCTGAAATGTTCAATCTTTACCCTGTCACTTCAGGCTGGCATGATTCGCACAGACAAGGACGAGTTCTTCATTGAACCTCTGCAGAAGGGGAAGCAGGAGGAGGAGGAAGGGAGGACCCACGTGGTGTATCGCAGGGCAGCGGCCAAGAAAACGCTTCCTAGCCAGCAACCAGGTATCCAGCATAGAGGTAAGGCTGAGATGTTAATGACAAGTGATGTTTAGAGCTCAGCTAAAAGCATGCGTCCAGTGGCCAGTATAATTGTTAATCTGCTTGTGTCTTTGATGGGAGAAATTCCTTCTCTCTCCATTCTATGTTTCAGCTTTTTACTGTTTGGAAGATTTGCAGGAACTGGGGCTTGGGGGATATGAGTCAAAGTTAAATTAGTATGGCAGCAACCAGCATCTTCCTGAAAATACATTTGATTCTTTTGTTGTTGGAAATAGGCAGCATAGGCCAGTCATGAAATGGATGAGCAATGGAGACCTTTACAGTTGGGAAGGAAAAATGCAGCTCCACTATATATAAACTGGCATGGCATACTGCAGGGTAGGGGTGCTGAGGTCTGTGCCTGTTAGCACACGCTCATGTAGCAGTCAGCAATGCTGTGATGCTTATATATGGGCAAGAATCACCACTGATTGAGTGTTTTGTATCACCTCCAGCACAACCTTATTCAGTAGATGCTGTTCATACATTGCACTGTCAAGTGGTGTGTGTGTGTGTGTGTGTGTGTGTGTGTGTGTGTATGGACACGGGTGGCACTGTGGTCTAAACAACTGAGCCTCTTGGGCTTTCTGATCAGAAGGTCGGCGGTTCGAATCCCCGTGACAGGGTGAGCTGCCGTTGGTCGGTCCCAGCTTCTGCCATCCTAGCAGTTTGAAAGTACGCCAGTGCAAGTAGATAAATAGGTACCACTGTGGTGGGAAGGTAACCGGCGTTTCCGTGTGCTCTGGCACTCGTCACGGTCTTCCGTGCGCCAGTAGTGGTTTAGTCATGCTGGCCACATGACTTGGAAAACTGTGGACAAACGCCGGCTCCCTTGGCTTGAAAGCGAGATGAGTACCACAACCCCATAGTCGCCATTGACTGGACTTAACTGTCCAGGGGTCCTTTTCCTTTACCTCTATATCTATCTATCTATCTGATTAAAGACTTTCTCCCTTGCATGTCATCTTGCTGCCTGGTGGATGTTCAGGGTCAGACTGGCAAGGTGTCGAGCAGCAGACAGTGAGAGGCCAGAGTGGTGTAGTATCTTGAAAAGGTGCTATAGCTCATTGGTATAGCACATGTTTTTCATGCATAAGGTCCCATGTTCAATCCCTAGTGTCTGCACTTGAAAGGATTAGCGAGCAGGAGGAAAGTGAGACTAGATAATATTGAGCTAGGCTGATAATAGAATCTAGAATTGTTGAGTTGGAATTGAGTTGGAGTTGAGTTGGTCATCTAGTCCAGCCCCTTTCAATGAAGAAATCTTTTGCCCATTGTGGGGCTCAAACCCATGGCCCTTAGCTGAAGAGTCTCGTGCTCTATGAACTGAGCAATCCCAGCCATGAATAAACTGACCTGGTATGAAGCAGCTTCCTATGGTCTACCAGGAAAAGCGAGTTTTGTGGAACATGTTGGGCCAGCATCCATTCTGTTATTCTAGGATCAGAATCACCTGTTACAGAGGAGAAGAATCACTAAGGAAATAGTCCCAATGAGCAACAGTTGCTCCCGAATTAGCCATATAGGGAAAGAAGGTGAAGCGATTATGGGGAACAAAGATGAAAGGCCACACAGCACCAGGACAGCGGGAAGCCTATCACCAAGCAGTGCCAGTAGAGTTGGTGACATTGTACAGTTGTGCATTATTCAGGAATCATAGGCTGTGGAAGGTGTTAGAGACGAGATGGGAGAATTGCACTGTTTGTTTGAACTTGTGCTTCCCATCTGAACTGTTAGAGCTCTTCCTCCTCCTCCTGATCACAGTAGGTTTACTGGCCACAATCTGTAAGTGGGGGGATGAGTGGGGCAATGGGGTACTGGGTTAAGCATTGCCAGCCATGCAGTTCCAGTGCTGCTAAATAGAAATCGGGTGCTTTTTCATTTGCAGTTGCCAGGAGAGTTTTCAGAAGTGCCAGTATGATTCTGTGATTTGTTTTGGATGCTTTGGGAGCAGTTGCCCTTATTGGCATTTGCCGTTTTCTTCCCCCTGGACCCAGTTAATATTTTCAGCCAGCGGCAAAATCTTGTAGTGCAGTGAAGGAATGGCATGAGCCCCCCCACCTGTATCTCGCAGACACACAAGCATCAAGTTGCACAAAACTTATATTTGTGTGGTTTATTCCCCCATGCAAAACAAGGAGCCACTGCAGAAAGGGGGGCTTCAACAAATCAATCTGTTGCATGGGGGGAAATAAACATTTCATGGGGGTTTATCTGCATGTTAGAAGGAAGGGGTCTGTGCATCTTCTCTCCCATGCTACTTCAGCCCCCAGCCCCTGGTGAATCAATAAACTGAAGCACTGCTATTGTGGTGCTGAGTAACTGCTGGGAAGAGCAGTACACTGACTAACTTGAATCTGTGCAAAGAGCACAGCACTCTGCGGGGCCATATCATAGAATCATAGAATCATAGAGTTGGAAGAGACCACAAGGGCCATCGAGTCCAACCCCCTGCCAAGCAGGAAACACCATCAGAGCACTCCTGACATATGGTTGTCAAGCCTCTGCTTAAAGAGCTCCAAAGAAGGAGACTCCACCACACTCCTTGGCAGCAAATTCCACTGTCGAACAGCTCTTACTGTCAGGAAGTTCTTCCTAATGTTTAGGTGGAATCTTCTTTCTTGTAGTTTGGATCCATTGTTCCGTGTCCGCTTCTCTGGAGCAGCAGAAAACAACTTTTCTCCCTCCTCTATGTGACATCCTTTTATATATTTGAACATGGCTATCATATCACCCCTTAACCTCCTCTTCTCCAGGCTAAACATGCCCAGCTCCTTTAGCCGTTCCTCATAAGGCATCGTTTCCAGGCCTTTGACCATTTTGGTTGCCCTCCTCTGGACACGTTCCAGTTTGTCAGTGTCCTTCTTGAACTGTGGTGCCCAGAACTGGACACAGTACTCCAGGTGAGGTCTGACCAGAGCAGAATACAGTGGCACTATTACTTCCCTTGATCTAGATGCTATACTCCTATTGATGCAGCCCAGAATTGCATTGGCTTTTTTTAGCTGCCGCGTCACACTGTTGGCTCATGTCCAGTTTGTGGTCAACCAAGACTCCTAGATCCTTTTCACATGTACTGCTCTCAAGCCCGGTGTCAGCCATCTTGTATTTGTGCCTCTCATTTTTTTTGCCCAAGTGCAATACTTTACATTTCTCCCTGTTAAAATTCATCTTGTTTGTTTTGGCCCAGTTCTCTAATCTGTCAAGGTCGTTTTGAAGTGTGATCCTGTCCTCTGGGGTGTTAGCCACCCCTCCCAATTTGGTGTCATCTGCAAATTTGATCAGGATGCCCTTGAGTCCATCATCCAAGTCGTTGATAAAGATGTTGAATAAGACCGGGCCCAAGACAGAACCCTGTGGCACCCCACATATGCCTGGGCTGCCCATGTAACCGGCACATATCTTAAGTTGCTGAAATTCCTCTGATGTAGATTGCTGCGTTAATAATGTGTTTACACAGATTACTTCAGCGTTGGAAAAATATTTAATTGGCACATATTTTCCCTTGAAACAAAAGAGCTTGAATATGGTTCACACCTTATGGCACTACTTTTTTAAAATCTTAGATGCTAAAATAAATATTCCTTAGCAAATAGTAGTTACCCAAATCAACAAATTTCATTCAGATATGGCTGCCGTATGCTCACTCAAGATTAATACCCCTTGGCAGCCATGGATCTGAAACGGAGTGAAATACATGACAGAGGGCGCAGCTTACCCTATTTTGAAGATACTTGAAATTAACGCCCATTTAGAAACCTTCTGTTGACCAAATTCAAGGGGCTGTGTATCACACAGGGTTGACCTTTTCACTGAGCTATCTGCCATGTCATTCACCACCAGCTCAGACTCCAGCAGTGAAATGAAAGTCACCAAATTTCCTGAATTTTGAGGTCTACATATTCTGATGTGGTTGTACCTGCTAAATTAGTTGAACTGTGTCTGTGCCTTGAAATTATCAGGTAAATGAATAGTTAAACTCATGGCACATGGGAACCAGAACTTTGTTGGAAGTGATGAATTCCAAAGATATGTTAAGGAATCTTGCTCTTTACTGTGATAAAGAGCAAAGCTATGCCTTTTCCATGACAACCATATTCATTTTTTGTGTGTGCTGTCTTTTGCATCCCATTCTTAATAGTGCAGTTGTATTAATCACTGTGCTTTTATGATTTGTCCCATTAATTTTATTTCAACTGTGTTGCTGAAGAAAAGCCAGTTGACCAGCAACCTTCAGGTTAGGGCATCAGGCATCAGCCACCAGCCACCTTACTTGGGAAAATGTCTCTCAAGAATAGTAGCCTAATATTAGTGTGGCGTAGGCTACTCTTATTTGCAGCAATCTCTATGAGCGTTATTCTCTGACCCATATTCTACCAGGCCCCTACATTCCACGGTACACAAAACTGTTCCATCTGTTGCACAGAATTTGGACTCCCTCAAAACACTAGGCACATCAAGAGAACCTTTCCCATCAATTTTTAAAAGAGATTTATCCTTTTAAAGAAATGGAATGTGCTTGGAGAAAACATATGCTAATAGGATGGCGCAAGATTGTGTCAGGCTGGAGATAATTTCAGCTTTAATCAAAATGTTTTATGAGTTTCAGGAGAAAAGGAAATGCATCTTGGCAGGGCAATCTGTATTTGGTTTAATGATTGTAAGAGGCTAAAGGATATAAAATTTCCAGCATTTCTCACACAACACTACTTTATTAATGGACCAGGGAAATTAGAGTATCCTGTTCCAACAAGCACCATTATTAATGGTGCTTCCACAACATTGATACATTAGTATCCAGTGTGACAATATATGGAAGCATAAAGTAGAAAATTATTTGTAACGAGGATTTGCAGTGATATGTTGCTGGTGGGGACATGAAGAGCTTTAATTATTTTTGGCACTTTACAGCCAGAACAATTGATTATTTTATGTTTATGATTATAACTGCAAATTTGTGCTAATAAAATTAAAAATAATTAGTGAGCCCTTGCTCTACCTACAAAAAAGAAACCAGTAATTTAAGTGCATGTGTACGACACACACACACACACAGACTGCAGGGAACGTGAACTAACTAAGGAAGAAAAATTAAATAGTCACAGCTGGTGATGAAGAGACAGGAAGCAACTAACTAGTCACTTAAGAAAAGCAAAAAGGAAGCTGTTAATTAAAGTGCCAGTAGCCCTGAAAGCCAGCAACACTTTGAGACTGTTTGTGAGACTTGTCTGGTTTGAATATTGTATTTCATTGAAACGTTGTCTTCTGCCCTAAGATCTTTGGGTTCAGGGTGGGATAGAAATGGTCTAAATAAATAAATTTAATTTGAATTGGGTGATGACACCTTAATCAGGGTTGCCACCATGTTTCTCAATACTGTAGGTAAAGGTTTTCTTCTTCTTAGAAATCAAATGTTGAGGTGAATTTAAAAGTTTCTGCTTGGAGGAAACCTGTGCTGAATTTCAGTGGAAAGCGAAATGCTTTACGTAAGCTGAATGGCATTTGCCAGGTGGGTTCTGCCCATTCTCATCCTAACCAGCTTCTGATTTGGTATAAGAATCAAGATAAACCCACCATGCTTTGGATAACATCATATTCATTGAGAGCTCCAATTCCATAGCTCACTGAACAACTGCGTTCCCTCAGTTAACATTTGGACTTGGGAGACTTGCTTCTCAAGAACATGATTTCAACAGTTATTTCTACCAGTAGAAGGCTGGCTTTCATGGCAGGTACGAACATACAAAATGGCCTTGCAGCCAGTAGCTATTGGCATTGCTGGATGGTCCTGGTGTGGGGCAGGGCAGCAGCAAGATCAGGCCTGTGTGGGTGCAAGAGCAGGAGCACCATGCATGTCCCACCAAACCACACCACGGTCCAGGTGAGCTGCAGTGATTCTAGTTTCAGGAAGGTGGCTCTATCCCACCTCACTGTTTGCAACTGCTTACAGCAAGTTAGACCGTCAGTTCCTCTATCTCAGTATTGTTGGGTCTGTTTAGGAGTGGGTTTCTGAGGTGTCAGTCAGAGGGTTTTCATAGCTCCAGCTAGCTGGTCCCTTTTAAACTAGAAACACTAGGGGGTTAACCTGAGACATTCTGCATGCAAAGCATGTGCTTTACCATTCA